ATTACAGCTTACGCGATTTTTCGCTGGGCATAATTTTTATATTTATATATTATTTTTTATTCGGTGTTGAAAGTTGATGAAAACATGTTGGCGTGAGGATTAAAAATTGGAAGAGCGTTAGGTCAGGGGTCTCAATGGATCCACATTCCCCTAATAGATCGTTTTACTTGATGTCCCCAACTCCATCCCGATGCGTGCTGCAACAATAAGGTCGGGTCCCTAACCTCATCCAACTCCCTAGACTGCACTGAGCCATTCTCAGACCGGTTTTTCCCTCAATTAATTCAAGTTCATCTAGATCTAAACGCACGCACCACACGCACCACACGCACCTCCAACACCCATCGAGATGTTTTGTCCGGAGATCCCCAGGAGGTGGGACTGCTCTCAGGGCCTCATTCACTCCCGACATTTTTCAAATTCGAGTTAACTTCACCTTAATCAATTCCCCTTTCAAATTCCCGCGCTAAATTATGGAAACTGTAATTAAATAATTTGACAGAAGGGCGTGCGAATAATTTTGTGATCCCCAGGATTTTGATGGAGGACGGGACCATCGTTTCTCGGGCAATGAAGGGCCCATGGGCCGATGGCAGTTCTTTGGGTCCAGTCGGGAGACCTTGACCTCGACTGGTTGACCTACAACGCCCGCTTAGAATCCTAATGTCTAGCGGGCCCTTTTTTACGCCGTCTGAATTCAAAAGATTTAATGCCCTAAACCACTTATGGCTGCGTTTTACATGTGCTCCCGAGTATTATTTCTTTTCAAACCATATGCTCCTCAGACGGGCTTCTGGATTCTGTTTATTTGTTAAACCGAGTGCCCGACCTTCACTGCGAGTTTTTCAAAACGTTGAAAAAATACTCTGCGACGACATGAAAAAGGAAACAGCATTATTTCTCATTGACTAATTATCTAATTTTTAATATTAAATGTTCATTAAAAATTACATGCACCAACTTACATTAATAACTCATTATTGGCCTTGTGCGGAAAGTCTCCGATAACTCACCCTATGCTGTCATAAATTTTCACTCATTTTCTACCGCCTAGGATTATGTCACTCGCTGCAGTCGATGCTCGTCTCCCAATAAATTTTCAATGTAGAAAAGTGGTGGTTTCTTCACCGTATCATAAAATACAATTTAACCACATGATTGAGAAATTTGAGCAAGTTGATACGGCATTGGAATAGATAGATGGTAATACGAAGTGCGTCGAAGCGGGATGCGGGGGCTGATCGATAGAAGTGGCTGTTGGGTTCACGGGCCTCGTTCAAGGACAAGGCCATGTGATAGTGAACGCGCACCCGAGTTTGCGCATTCAACCAACCCTACCTCAGTTCTGCGTTTCGTCTCAGGAACGAAACATTCGCATTAGAGCCCCTTCCATTTCCTCCGCGGAACTCTAGTTCCATCGCGGAAGTTTATCCACACAATGACATACCCCATCGAGGGAAATATTCAGTGAAAAAATTGCGGAACTCGCATATTTTTTCCTTTTCCCATGCCATTATTCTGTTGGTCTATTGAATAATCGTAAAAACAAAAAAATCAAAATGCAAAAAATGTGAAAATAGGCATTTGAAAGGGCGAGAAGAAAGGGATGAATTTATACATTGCACAATTGCTAATAAAAAATAGTCGCAATCAATTAATTTCCAAGATTTATTTTTTCTCAGGGAACGGTGAATATTGGCAGGAGAATTATTGGAGTTTTAATGAGAAATTTTGATGTAAAAATGGAGATTTGAGAGGGAGCGAAGAAGAGAGGGCAAGGGAGGGGGATGTCGGAGGATAGTGGTGGAGGATTGTAGGGCTTTAATGTGGCGCTGAGGGTAGGCGGGGGCATATGCACCGCTGAATCTACAACCGGCCACACTCTCACTTTCGCAGGCGCCGACGACGGGTCGTGTCGCCTGACTCGCGCCGGTTTACCGCCAGTCTTGTGACACACTGTAAACTCCGACCCACACGAGGCTCCAGCTGGCCATCCCCCTATTTACATTTTTACTTGGACATTTCATTATTAGCATCAATCCGAAACGAGAAATACTAGAGCGTTGTCAACACCTGTGAAAGCCACTCGAATACCATAACATCACTGTTTTTCTCCATTTTACGCTGTCGCTGTCGTTTGTTTTCATCAGTGGACCTCGACCACGGGAAAACAAGGAAAAACCTCCGTGGGGTACGTCTTCTTCACGCATTTTGCCTCCTCTTATTCGTAGAGGGACGCTACCGAGCGGTGGGGGAAAACATTGAAGGGAGAGAGTGAGGGGAGTCTCGAAGCCGGAGCCCGCGTGGCCCCTCATTTCGGAAAGTGTCGCCGTGTCGTGATAGTGAGTGACCGTTTGAGGTGCATCCTCGCTATTTTTCGGACAGAAGAATAATAAGAATAAACAGTGAATTGTGCTTGAGACAACAGTGTGATAATCTCAATTGAGTGTGGATTATTTAGAGGCTGTGTGGTGGCGGGATGAATTACTTTGGTGGGAGACGAGTGTTTGTGTCACAGACTTACGCCAGTTTGTTTTTTTTCAATTATTTCCATTTACTCTCACTTCGAGGGTAATCTCACTATCGCTCGGGCATTGTGTCATTGACGTGTGGATTACTGCGTAATTTTGCCACCACATTTTTTGGACTGTGAAGTGCTGTTGTGAGTGGCGAGGCTTTTTATCGTTTGTTTTTTTTTTTGGTTTTTTTTTTCCGGGGATTATCAGTGACCCGCGGGTGCGGGGGATAAGAGACCAAAAGTGGCTCATACAGCAGGCAGAGATCGAGAGGTGTTGCAGGCGGAAGTGAGGAGTGCCATTCGGGTACTCAACGGATGGTGTCCAAGAGGATCACAGACCACTGGTCAAAATCGTGGTGATACTGTTTTAATGGCACCTCAGACACAAGTAAGGCAGACTCATGGACACAGGTCTGCACCAGCGGCACCACCCACTAGTGTTGTTGTCAGTTCAACCTCAAGCATGAGACCACCACCTCCACCACCACCCCCAAGGGCAAGGCCCTCCACTGAGGGTAAAGGTCATCATGAGGAACCCACAAGCTCCATTCCTGATCTCGGTGAGTCAATCATTATGGTATTTTCAAACAATTTATCATTATTACGCATATTTAGAATCAGAGGATTCAATTCACTGATTCGAGAGAGAAGAAGTATTTTTTCTCCGTCCCCCCCCAAACAATTCTGAGATATTCGCTAAAAACTGGTCTCGAAAAAATGCATCTAGGGTAGTATATGTCTTTTCTGAATTTTCCATTCATTTTGGCAACAACAGATTTTGTCAGTATAGTGGAAAATTTTTTAAGCAGTGGAAAAAAAAACTCGGTTCTTCTCACTCTAAAAATCTTCAAAACAAGTGAAAGATTCACTTGCCCCCAGTATTTTCGATCGTTAGGTTCCATCTAGCGACGAATCCCTCGATACAAGTGATTTCGTCGTGGAAATTGTTTTTTTCTCAGCATTCCCTCAAAACAAATTCCCGAGTGCATTTTCTCTGAGAAGGGGGATATGGCAGTAATTGTACACTGAAAATGATTTCCACTCGACACAATACCCGTTACCTCAAGGACATAAAGAAAACAATATCGATCGAACTCGAGAAAAAGAACACTTATGCGCGATTAATGGTCGACAACAATCGCTGATTTGTTGGATTGTCCCTAGCATTGTGACAAGTCTCAAAACATGCAGCACACCTTGACCGATTATAGAAGTCTTTCATGATCGTATTAACCGGAAAAAAGAAACCGAGAAAGGGGAGATGTAGTGGAGAATGAAAAACAAATATGGCTGTAAGAATGGGGAATAAACACTAATGTAAGGGAATACGCGAGTTATTTCTGCACGAGAGACAACAATACAAAGACGAAAGTTGAATGTGAAATACGAGAGTGGGGAAAAGAGTTTTATCAGTCTGTTGTTTAAGGCGGGTGAGAGGATTGGCGAAATAATATTCCATCTGGCATCAAGCCTCCGGAATAACAAAAAATTCATGATAAAAAATAAATAAGTGAAAAATATTTATGCTGACGTGGTGTGACATTGGGGGGTCTTAGAGGAAAAAATTGTGTATCACGTACCGAAAATATTCTCGCGGGTCTGACACTCTGCAATAATACAAAAATGAGCTTAATCGGTACCGAAGGACAGACTCTCGTAGGCGAAACGTATCGGATACGTTCACCAACACAATCAGTGGATTATTTCGAACGCTGATTGTGACCTCGGACAAGAATCGCTTGATCATTATTATTTTTTTTTAACTCTCGTTTTTCGGGGTGATCTCCTGGATTTTTTAGTTTAGGACCTGCAGAGGGGAAAGAAAGTGTGTCAAGACGAAGTGCATTCGGTTGTTGCGTAATTTGTTCCGACGGCGCGTTGAATTTCGCGGAGATTTTTACCGGTGAAAACGAGATTTGACCGTCAAAACCTCGGAAACCCTCGGCCGGCATTTTACGTGTGCCTTCGAATTGAATAATCCGAATTATGGGGGTAATGAGTGGAGAGGAGCGATGAGCTCAAGTCAAGTCGAGAGACTGTCTCTGATATTTATCTTTTTTTAATGAACAGGTGGCTTTTTCGAATTTGTCCTCCGGACGGAAAGGTCGATTCATTTCTCAGAACCACATTATTTCTCAGTAAACAGGGATTCGAATGTATGACAGGGAGAAATGTAGACAGAAATTACATTACTTCGAATCAAATCCGCGTCGTTCTTGTGGCTCCAAATAAAGGGGTGGTTACAAAATATTTGTAATAATCATTTTTGTCCAGCTCGATTTGTTTTATAGAAAAAGACATGACGAAAATATTAATATCAACTCAAGATTCTGAGATATTCGATGAAAAGTGTACCGGAGACGTAATTGCTCGAAACTTCCGAAAAATATCAGATACTAGGTTCTTTCATTCAAATAATCTTTTATAATGAAATACTAATAATGTTAACATCGAATATCTCAAAATGCAGGAAAAAAAAATATGTTTCCGCCCGGGTTCGAACCGAGGACCTTGTGCGTGTGAAGCACACGTGATGCCGCTACACCACGGAAACTACATGAAATTATGTTTGATTTAACCGACTGTTTCATCCACGATTTTCTTCTCTTTTTCTCATTATCTCTCTCTTCCTCGATTCAAATTTTCTGCATGATTTTTTCCTGTTATTGCTTTTTCGTTAATTAATTCGCAATATGACTCAAGTCATTGTCGTTGGTATGATAAGAATTCGAGTTCATTTTTGTTTGGCGGGAGGAGTTGATTTTTTGGATAGTGACTCACCGAATTTCGCGTAAAAATCCTTGCACTCTGGATAAGAATAAAATGCCTGGTGATCACCCGCAGATGACCTTGTCCTTCCGATGTGTAACACCCGGTACTCGGGAATAGCTTTCAAATTCTCTCATGGTCATGGTCGGCCGCGAGTGCCGCATCTGTTACGTCATACCCGTGGCATCGGTTTTAAATTTAGAGGTCTCGATCACTTGGTCTCCTCATTTCCTCTATTTTCTTAAAATTTTTCCCCTTTGCTGCATCTTGGAGACAATATTTCCTGTGATATTATAGTTTAAACATCGAAAAATGGGGCATGTAAGGTGATGTGAACGTTCAAAGATACGGGAGATAAAATTTGAAAGAGAAAAAAAAATCCAGTCCCTCTTCTGTTGGATTTGAATGTCACCCACACTTTGAAAATTTGTGGGCAAATTTTTCATCGGTTTAATAGTATTTGTATGGTGGGCCTTGGCCCCTGCTGGTGATAAAGTCGAGCGCGTGATAAGACTATTCATTTCAGAAACGTTTGCCAACAGTTTGACCTACTCGAGATTTCTCGGAGTTTATGACAGATGGTCGGTAGAATTGACAGTTTGTTGGATAAGTTGAATAGATCATCGCCGAGGAATTAGGGAATTGAACTGAATGTCAATGTCAATTGAGATTAGGAATTGCTTTAATTGGGATAATGGACTTTCTCCTGTTATTTTAATTAATATAACATAAACAACTGTGAAAGTTGAGCTGGATGAAATGATCAATTACAGCTGGTGGTTTTGATTGAGCGAGACGGATCGCCAGATTGCGTGCATCGAGGAGTCATTGGCCGTTTGATAGTGCAAAAATAGCGGGTGAAAATGGACTTTTACTTTTGAGCTCGTGATGTGGCTAAATTGTCATGGCAAATACTGACTTTCACAGCAGTTCGGGGTATCAATAAACGGGACGTAGATAGCAGAAGATGATTAAATTTTTATTTCTTCAAATTGACAAATTCTTCTGATTTGTTTTTCCTTTGGATGCTATGAATCATTAGGTTTTCAGGGGTTTTGTCAGGGGAATTTAGCGGGGATATTTGGCATCGGCAAATGATATCTCATCCCTTGGAGAGTTCTCGAGTGTGATATAACTACTGAAATCCTCTTGAGAAAACTCATATGTGCGTGTGTGCAATTGAGATTGAGAGGGTCTGTCTTGTCCCTTTGCTTATACTGTTTTATTCAGTTTCACTCGACGATTTCTTTCAATTTTCTTCTCTCTTTTTGATCTTGAGAAAACCCGTCCGTGATTATGGAAAACTTTAAACTCTTGGGTTTAGGCTATTTCAGTCCTTATCTCTCTAATGTCACGAGAGTTTCAAGAATTTTCTGTAATTCAAGATATGATTTTTCAAGGGCGTGGAGGAGAAAAATTCCAAAGGTTTGGGCTTTTTTCGTTTACGTTGTTTCTCCACAAGATTTTATCTCGTGTATAATATTTCATGGGCTCACTTTTATCGCAATTCACTGCCAAATTGTCGTGTTTTTCTCTGACAATTTTATTTACATCTGGATAAAACATGAACGACGAAAAATGACGACAAAGTTATCGAATTTACGTCATGAACTTTCTGAATTCTAATTTTTGAAAAATTCCTCTCAACTTCTTTTTTTTATATCACGATTTTTTTCTCTGACATCTGGATATTTGTTCTTTTGTAGTCTAACTCATGCAGAATGTACTTTCAATAATTTCCATTCTGACATTTCTGATTAGTCGACTTGTATACATGTCGTATTCATGTATTCAAATAAAGTTCACACACTGAGAAAATTCTTGGAATGAAAATTGACTACTGTTTAGCCAGAGCCAGGGATCGATTGTTGTTTTGATGCAGCCAACTGGGAAAACACAATGGAAATACTTTTCCTTTTCTTCATTTCTCTTTGGAGTTGTCTCGAGTTTATTCCCTCAACATCGAACTCCGCCGTGATAATTTATTAGAGACTCTAATTATTTTTTCTCGGATGAATAAGTGATGTAGAAGAATCGAGACAAATGGAGAAATAGAGTCAAGCGAGTTGAGGTAATTTCCACAGATCGAACGTGATGTTTATTCGGCGTCTTGGATCATTGATTACAGTTGCCATAAAGTCCCCAGAGACGTAATTGACCTAAAGGAATGGACGGGGTCGACTCACAGAGTTCATTGCCATTAGCTATCTTTCTCGTAGGTTATACATAGAACATTGAACACGCGCCTGCGAACGTGACCAGAGGAAAATTGTCAGGCCCTATTGCCCCAGGAAAATCCCCCAACTCTATTATCAATTGAAAGATAAAATTCTTAAAATTAGTAAGACACTTTCTCTCCCGCGCTTACACAATTGTCAAAAAAAAATTTTATTTCATGGAAAAGTGATTGCAAAATAAAAAATCCCATTGGGAATGCTCCGAGTGCAAATAAGATAAGAAAAAACATTTCATCTATTCGGTTGTGGCGTAAAAAAAAATTCAATTGAATTGGCCAAAATGTATTTTACGATCGAACGTTAAAACACCAGAAGGAAAAAAAATGGAATCCTCTCGATGGCAACTCCATAACTCTCTCCGCGAGTCCTAGGTCCTCTTTTAGCATAAATCCATAACGGGGAATGTGGCTTTTACGATTACGAGCTTTCTCCCCACCTGAGTGAAAATGGCGATCGTGAAATGGGTGCGAGGGTCGACTTGGCGTATCGGAGAAATAATAGCGAATGCCTGTGGAAGGGTGGGAGTAACGTGGGGGATGGTCTGTTGAAGGGTTCAGTGTCTCGGGTTGACCCTGCGCATATACCCGATGATGTTAAGCCAAAGGGGGAATGACCTAGTCCCTTCTAGTCCCTATCTCTCCTATCGCCATCATTAACCCTACGTACGTTGTATGCACGACTAGAAAAATCATCGATGCAATTGCAAAAATTGTGTATCACAGCTTATCATTCACTTTTTGAATTCTCAAACTTTTTCGCAAAATTTTTAAATGCACATGAGAGTAATTAGTTGCAATGCGTCACACGTGTCACAGAGGGTGAGACTCGAAATTATGTTGGTCACCTTTCTTTCCTTCCTGTAATTTGCGAGGTGTTATCGTTTGAGCGATCAAAGTGAAAACATTTCGGAGTTCAACCCCTTGCAGTAGTGGGAAGTGTAGTTGTGAGGTCATTACCCAGAGCCCTCAAGTGCGAGTGAAGAGGGAAGTTAAAAAGAAAAGGGACAGGAAATTGGCAAATACACGGGTGGGTCTGTCGAAAATAATATGTGAGCAGTGCATTGCAGAGTATAATTGACTCAGTCTAATGTCTCATGACTCACTCAGCAAAAATTACGACTGAATTTCCCCGAAAGCTTCATTAATAAATTCACTGACTTTTCGACTCCACAAACCCATACTCAACAAATCTCGACAAATATTTTTTCAAGATATAAAAAAAAATATTATTCATAAAAATCTCAAGGGATGGGATTGTGACAGCGCAGGCAACTGCCATCTCTCGTCGAAGCCCCACGTTTTTTCCTACCCCGTCGGAGGGTAAAGGGAGATATGAAAAAAAGGAGGGTTGACAGTGCCATTGCACTGCACTGGGTGAGGGTCATTACTCCGAGCAAGGCGAGCCGGTGACCTCGGCGCCAACGCCCGGAATCGATCCAATCCCTGTCCTTACTCCCAGACAACGTGGCGGGGAGGCCAACATCCACAGGGTGAAATGCACCAGCACTCTTTTTATTACTCATTTCTCTTTCTCTCTCTGTTTCTCTTTATCTCGCCCCTGCCACCCTCCCACCCCCTCGTCTTTCTCCTCCGCTGCCCCCTTCGCGGTACAATGTACGGAGCTTTGTATGACTGTGCTCGTGGGGAAGGTTGTAGCTTCCTCTTCACACTTTTCCTCTCTACTATCCTGCTATTCTGTTTGCTCCCAGTCTGGACTTTCTCCTCCCCCTCACTCCCCCTTGCATCTTCTTGTTTTGTATCACCATGTACAGTGAGCGTTCCTCCAGCTTTTTCGTACTCAACCCCCTGATTTCTTCTCATAGAAAACCAGACACAAAGGCTCCACGTCGAATAAAATTGCTTGGTTTTTTCAGTTAAGAGGTTTCTTTGTTCTCGATATTCAAAGAGAGTAATGGTTATGGCTGATTCACGAGTTGATTCGAGTCGAGTGACTCGGAATCCGTGATTTTTGGGTTTGATGCGAGTCGCATTGAATTCGTTCAACTTCATCCGACATGATTTCCAGTTTAAAAAATAATTATACAGGCACGTCGTTACGTCTTTTGAATTTCCCGCGGTAATCGATCTGGGACCCTTCAGGGTTCCGGGGCCCGCTCAGAGATGGCTCCAGTGAGACCTCCGGGGCCTCAATCGTTCTTTTAATCCAATTGGCTCACTATTTTGGTTTGCGGTAGTGAAAGCTATGAATTTCGATCTGAAAATCGTTTTGTTCAATCTGACACTCAGCGATTCCCAAGTCCCGTTAGAAATTTTCTGTCGATCTAAGACCCGATTTCCGGCTCTTTTGGAGCAAGACAAACAACGCCACGTGCCCACCCCTTAATATCGTAACCGTTATTACGTGAAGACTATCAATGAGGTTCGTATTACAGGACGCGTGTCGCACGCCAGATGCAATTCTTGCTCGGTAAATAATCAGCTGGGGATATACACGTGGGAGGATCTTCCCAAACAAACTTTAATTCATTCCGCGGGTGGTTACATCATGTGGACAAATTTCCAAATGGATGGGTCCCAGCGATTATTAA